AAGAGATAACCTTACAACTCCCTAGTTTTTCCGGGCTAAACTAGAACATTTCCCTAGCTTTTACACGGGATTAGCTAGAACCTTTCCCTTTTACAAAAGGATAAAATAAGTAAACAAGAAAACCTCTCTAAGGTAGGTGTTTACAAGATTGAGCTCACAAGAACAAAATATTTACAAGAGAAAGATGTAATAAGAATGAAAAACTCTTCTCTTGTGTTTGATTGCTTGGATAGTTGTTCTCTTTCTTCTTCAAGTGTTCTTAGCTTGTATTTATAGCTTGGAATGTGTTTGATGTTGTATATAGCCGTTGGGGATGTTTTGGAGCCGTTTGGGGATGATTTTTCTACTCAAAAAGGCTGCCCATAACATGGTGCATCGGTGCACTATCATGGTGCATCGATACCCCTTCATTAAATTCAAATAAACTAGCCGTTACTAGCCATTGCAGCCTTGATGCATGGATGCATGGCAGGATGCATCGATGCACTAAGTGCATTCGATGTTTGAGTGCATGGATGCATTGCATGATGCATCGATGCATTAGTGCAGGTGCATGGATGCACTGCAGGGATGCATGGATGCACTTTGACACCCTTTAGCATTTTGGCTCAAATCCGATTTTAATGGACTTTGAATTATTTTTGAAACCTTTTAAAACTTTGAATAAATTTAATTAAGTCCAAAAACATTTTGTAAATTCAATTCAAGTCCAAAAACCATTTTGCCTTAAATTGTTATATCAAAACATAGTTCAACAGATTTCCCTCAAAATTTCTTCTATATATACAACTTTTGTTTTTTTTTTGTTTTAACCCGATTTCTAAAAAAAATAAAAAATGCTCTCTTCCCTCTCTTTTTCATCTCCGGCCGGCCCACTGTCGGGCACCATCACTCGCCTCCAACCGTCGTTTCGGTCGCTGCACACAGTGACAGGAGTTCCCAAATCAAACCAAAATAACCCCCGAGTTTAGATCTATAACCTTAGACCTACATCGTAGTCTAAAACCACGTAAAAAACTCCCTAAACGCCCCAAAATGCTCCCTAAACCCTTTGACTACCCACTTTTTTGGCAACCCCAAAAATCGACTAAAATCAAACTAAAAGCCTCCAAAAAGCTCCAATCTACCCTCCTAGACGCAGACCCGACTACTCGACCTCATCGGTTACAATTTTGTTACATGCAAGATGGTTTCTTTGCTATTTTTTTGTTTTGAAACTATAAACATAAAAAATAAAATATACCTTTCAAAAATCTTGCAACTTTTTTTTCTTTTTTTTTTTTTTGCATTTTCGAAAATGGGAACCTTTTTACATGTTATTTTGGGGTTTTATAAGCCTCAATTTTACATCTTTTTTTTGTTTTGTTGCTTTGAAATCATTACAAATGAAGGAGTTTGCATGTGGTGTTGTACTTGGTCTTGCTTGTTAATTTGATCTGGGATTTCTGACACTGCAGGGTTTCGGATTGGCGACAATGATGGTGGTTGGGGAGTGGGTTAAACATGCTATATCAGCTGCTCGATCTAGATTGTTGGATGGGTCCAGATCCAACGGATAAGATTAGTGGCATCTTGAAGTAAGGCTAAACCCTAATTGAGGATTAATTCAGGTCACTGGATCTCTCCTAGATCAAACAGCTGAGATGATGCAGTACCTGGAGACTCTCAACAAAAATCCTAATGGGTTTCCATATGTGGACTGCAACAATGGGCTATGGGTTGCTGGGCCTCAGGTCTTGGGTCGAATTGGGGTTAGTTATTGGGCTTCAGGTTTAAGCCAGATGACCCTTTGTAATTAGAGTTTCTATTATACTAGGCCAGACTACTTTTGAGCATGGGGCTTGTACAAGCCTGCAGAAAATAAAAATGTATTTATAATAATAATAATAATAATTAATATAATAATATAATAATATAATTTAATGGGATGAAAATCGTTGTCGACAACTACCCCTCTTTGCCCATTCTTGTGTTAATAAGAATAGGGCAAAGACGAAGAGACAATGAGTTTTCATCCAGTCAACTTCATCCTTTGAAATATGATAAGGGGTATGTTTTGTTTTTCTTGAGGAAAAATTAGATTTGGGGACATTGATTCATTCCACTGTTACTCAAGGAAGTTTGAATCGAGCTAGAATTATTCTACTATTACTCAGGAAATATCAAATCTTCAAAGAGATGAATCTATTCTGCTTTTTCTTGAGGGAAAATCAGATCTAGGGATGTTTATTCATTCCATTGTTCTTCAGGGAAGATTGAATTGAGTTCGATTTTCTTCTCTTGTCTTCAAGAATATCAAATATGAAAATTAAACATTAACCCTTGTTAGTATGTGTTTGAGGATTAAAAAACATCAAACCTGAAAATCTTGGGAGGATAATCTTTGGAAAGTGATTTCTCCTGTGGGAGCTGGTCTTGCCACCACCAAATATGGAAAACTGAATTGGTTACTTTTATGTTGGGTCTTTACATCTCCATCCTTTCCTTTTGGAGAACCTGTAAGTACTCAATTACATTTATCATTATCATGCATTTTATTTCATGATCCTATTTATGCCTAAAATGTGTGCAATGGTGCAATTCTTTTTAGGGTATTTTCGTTTCAAATGAGAATTTTCTCTTGTCGATGACCTTGTAATTTATTCGAATTCGGGGTGCAAAAAATAAACAACAATTCACCCTATCTTACAACTCTGGTCGAACACTCTTTAGTTGAATGTGATTATGATTCTCTTTACTCTTGAACCCATGCAATACTCATGACCAGCTACTTGATCTCTGACAAAACCTCTTGGATTATCCCACCTTGCTTATCTTTTACGTTTATCCCAAGGCTTTTACTTCATGTAGCCCAACATCATGTAAGCCTCATGCTAAATTCATTTTCAGCTTCTGAATACCTGCACTTTTCCAAAACTTTTTATACAATAATACTAGATGATCTCATGTTTCCCAAGTTAATCTATATGTTTTGTTTTTCAATTAGGATCCTTGCACCATGGTTTTAACAAGAAAAAGACTACTTTTATTCATAAATAAAGCGTTTTTGGGTAAATACATGGTGAACTTTTAAGTTGAATAATCAAAAGAAAACACAGTAGGCGTCCTCATATATCAATAGTATGAATGCTTTTTAACTGACACGCCACAGAATGACTCGAGTGTAACTTCTGTTAAAGGGATCTTGAGGATTGTGACAATGCGCAAGGGTGTGAATTTCCCCCTGTACTACCAAATTCCCATAATGTTGGATGTCATAAACCAATATTTGAATCTCATTTACTTTCTGGTTATCCAAGCCTTTTCGATTCCCAGTCCTAACCCTGACTCAAGTCTTCAAAACTAATTCATAACCTCCACTATGCACGAATTTTGAATTTACACAATTCTCTAGCTGCCCTTTGCGGGTTTTCAAACTAAACCTCCTTTAGTTTCAAGACGCCCTTTACGAGTTTTCATCTTGAACCCTCCTTTTTGTTTATTCTCTTTTTCTTTTTCCTTATTTCTTTTTTCATTCATTCATTTTTTTTCATTTTCTCTTTTCATTCATTCATTCTTTTTTTTTATTCTTTGTTTTCATTCTTTTTTTTCAGGCGAAGTACTTCTTGATTGCGTCATCATTCACAGGGATAGGTAACTCTGGTCCATCCATCTTAGTGACGATCAAAGCTCCTCTAGAAAAGGCATTATTTACCACATAGAGTCCTTCCTAATTTGGGATCCATTTACCTCTAAAGTCTTTCTAAATTGGCAAAACCTTTCTCATCAACATATCTCCCTTCTGAAACTCTTATGTGCAAACCTTTCTGTTATGTGCCCTCATCATACGTTTCTGGTACATTTTCCCATGAGAGGTGGCTTTTAATTTTTTCTCCTTAATTAGATTCAGCTGGTCATACCTAGCTTGTACCCATTCTGCTTCATCTAGCTTAACCTCTGATAGCACCCAAAGTGATAGAATATCAACCTCGATGGGTAACACAACCTCCATCCCAAAGGCTAAAGAAAATGGAATTGACCCAATTCATGTCATTACTGAAGCTCGATAGGAAAACATAGTAAATGGTTGTTTCTCATAGCAGTCTTTATAAGTCTTATTCATTTTTTATGAGCCTTTTTATGTTCTTATTGGTTGCTTCTACTGCCACATTCATCTTTGGATGATAAGTGGTGGAATTATGATGTTTTATCTGGAACTGTTTACATACCGATTCCGTTATTTTATTGTTTAAATTCAAGGCATTATGGATGATGATCCTTTCGGGTAACCCATACCGGCATATAATCTCTTTCTTTAAGAACTTTCATACTATTGACTGAGTGACATTTGCATAGAAAGCCACTTCTGCGCACTTAGTAAAGTAGTCTCTTGCCACCAATATGAAACGATGGCTATTGGAAGCCTTGGAAGAAATTTGCACAATAACATCCATGCTCCACATAGAGAAAGGCCACGGAGTAATCATTACGTGCAATAGATGAAAAGAGGTATGGAGCTTGTCTCCATAAATTTGGCACCTGTGACATTGGCTGGCGTAATTGATAAAATCGATTTCCAAGGTCGATTAATAATACCCAAATCTCATTATTTTTCTAGCCATTGTATGTCCATTATCATGGGTACTACATACTCCCCCATGCACTTCTTCAATGATCGTTTTAGCTTCTTTGGCATCTAGACATCTCACTGAAACCTGATCATGACTTTTCTTTTACAAGATCTCGCCATCAAGTACATATCCTGTACTCATTCTTCGAATAGTTCTTTTGTCATTCTTAGTTGCCTGCTTAGGGTAGCTGAATATTTGATGTATTATAGGATGTCATAATACCAGGGATTCTCATCATCTTCATCTTCTATGCTATAGAAGTGGGCTGGATACTCATAAGCTTGCATCTCAATAGGCATTATAATTGAAAGTTCATTGACTTTGAAGGCTGCTTCCAAAGTGGTTAGAGCATCCACCATTGATTATCTTCTTTGGGGAGGTAATGGAATATCACATCCTCAAATTTTTGATGAGATCTAGGACCAACTTATGGTACTCCACCAACTTGGTATCTTTTGTTTCCCATTCACCTCTAAGTTGATAAGTTACCAGGGCTAAATCCCCATATACTTTGAGTGTTTTTACTTTACTCTCAATGGCAGCTCTAAGACCCATAATACATGCTTTATACTTAACCATATTGTTTGTGCAATCGAAATTCAATTGGCTGGTGAAATGATAGTGTTTTCCACTAGGTGAGACTAAAATTGCCCCAATCCCGTGTCCCAAGGAATTCGAGGCACCAACAAAATTCATATTCCAATGTTCATCAATAGAGGAAATTGCCTCTTCAATTAAAATAGCCATCAAATCTTCGTCTGGAAAATCGAAGTTTAGCGATTCATACTCATCAGAAGCTCTTCTTACAATGAAATCGGCTACAATACTTCCTTTAACTACATTTTGGCTTACATATTGGATGTCAAATTCAAACAATAGAATCTGCCAATGAATCAATCTCTCAGATACAACATATACTGCCAGAGCCTTCGAGTAGTCCAAACTAAAGCACAACACAACTTTTCTATCAGTGAGTACCTTGCCTTACAATTAGTGAACTTTTTACTGAGGTAGTAGATTGCTCTCTCTTTTTTCCCGGATTGGTCATGTTGCCCTAATACACACCCCATTGAATTCTCGAAGATTGACAAGTAACGAATTAATGGTTTGCCTGAGACTGGTGGCAATAAGATCGAAGCGTTCGATAAATTTCCCTTAACTGCTTCAAAAACTCATTAGCAATCATCATTCCATACCCTGGGTTATTTTACGAAGAAGGAAAAAAATGGGATCACATTTCTAGGTTAATTGTGAAATAAATAAGGCAATGTAATTTAATCTCCCCATGAACCCTCGAACTTCTTTTTATGGTTTTGGGGGTAGTAAATCATTAATAGCTTTGACTTTGTCTGATCTACCTCAATCCTTTTTTTACTCATTACAAACCATAGGAGTTTCCTAGACGTTACCCCAAAGGTACACTTGCTTGGATTGAGTTTCAGCTGACACTCTTTTAATCTTTGGAAAAGTTTTCTCAGATTCTTGATGTGTTCTTCCTCCATTTTTGCCTTAATAATCCTATCATCGACATAGATCTCTATTTCTTTATGCATTATGTCATGTAAAAGTGTTATCATGGCTCTTTGGTAGGCTTCCCCTATATTATTTGGTCCAAACAGCATCACCTTGTAGCAAAACGTGCCCTGCATGATGACAAACGTAGTCTTTTCCATATATTCCAGATGCATCTTTATTTTATTTTAACCCAAAAACCCATCCATAAATGAAAATAGGGAGTTTTCAATAGTATTGTTCACCAGGGTGTCTATGTTGGCAAAGGAAAATTATCTTTTGGGATGACCCGGTTAAGATCATTGTAGTCGACGCACATATAAAATTTCTTGTCTTTCTTGGGTACTGAATGTTTTCTACCCATTTCGGATACTTGGCTACTTTCAGGAACCGAACATCGAATTGCTTCTTTACTTCTTTAATTTTTAGTAGCATTTCGGGTCACATCCTTCTGAGCTTTTGTTGTATCTGTTTACATTCTAGTTTTATCGGTAGCTTATGTATTACTAACTCAATATCTAAACCTAGCATGTCCTCATATGACCAAGAAAACACGTCTTTGTACTCTTGAAAAAGCTTAATCAGACTTTGTTGCCCCTTAGTAGATAGTGTGGTGCCAATCTTTATCTCTTTCTTATTTTCCTCTGATCCCAGATTCAAGATTTCAATGGGCTCTTCATGGGGCATAATCTGTTTATCTTTTCTCTCCACCATTTTTAGCAGTTCAGAAGGTAAGTCACATTCCTCATCATTATCATAACCCTCAACTTTCCCTTGACATATGGGAAGCTAGAAATCTATCTTTGGGTCAGAGTCATCAGCATTCATACTATTGATACCAGAGGTCCTGAAAGAATAGCGAACGAGAGGATATATATACATATAAAAATATATCCCATATAAACAAATAGAATGAAATAATAAAATAGAATGAACAAAGAATGAAAAACAATATACACGAGAGAATGTTTGCCATTTTGTGAGTTAACAAGAATGCATCTTTAATTAAATATTAAAAAATAAATAGATTAACCCTTTACAAAAGATCACCTATTGCCCTGGGTTTTAGACAATAAAGAAAGTTTTTGTGCATTACTCTAAAAAAGTTTTATAAACTACAGGTAATTCTTTTACAGTCCAATTATTTAGCACAAAGCCTAGCAGTGCATGATAGATGCCCATAGCTCTTTCTTCTTCAATCTCCTCCTATGATATCATATTTGTGCCCAAATACCTCAAGGCATTCTCAACAACTGGCTCTTTAGATGATTAGCCTCTTAAAACATATGGCCCCTGAATATGAAGGTGTCATATTATGGCAGAAATTCAAAGGCTCTCACTTTAAATCCTCATCAGCTAGTCTAACTTTCCTCCTTTCATGGCTCTTCTGAATACCTCTCATATTTTCCTTTAAGCTCGGGTGGTATCCCATGCCAAAGCGGTCTCTCTTGATGATAGGAAAAACTGGACTGAAGGATCCCTAAAGACGACTCTGCGGCCCTCTCCCAACCTTGGTTCCCCTTCCCAAAGTCATTTTCAATCTCATTCTTGTACAATTGGACAACCTGGGCTTTGATATTTTATTCCCTTTAGCCACGAAGATAGCATTAACAAACTCCAGGGACCTGAAGGAGCACTCAACCACTTCTTCCTCCACTTCGACATATGGAGCAGTAGTAGATATATAAACAATGATGTCTTCATCGACATTAAGGCACACCAGTCTCCCCTCAATTACAAACTTTAGCTTATGATGCAGAGTGGATGACAAGGCTCCTACCTGATAAGTCCAAGGCCTTTATAACAAGAAATTATAGGTTGACATGATATCCATGACAAGGAATTCGACCTTTTAAGTTGATGAGCTTATGGTCAAAGGGATATCAATCTTCTCTAACACCTCTCTCTTCATTCCGTTAAAAGCTCGAACGATGATTTGGCAATATTTCATGTGTGTACTGTAGATCGACAACTTTTTTAGGGTCACTAACGACATCACATTTAGTGCAGAGCCGTTGTCAAGTAGTATTCGGGATAATACATACCCTTTGCTCCGGATGGTATTGTGCAGGGCCATGGGATTGCCAACCATCTCGGATGAGATCTCGTCATCGGAGAAAGATATGAAATTATCGACATGGATATTCACAACTAGTGGGTCTATCTTTTCCACTGGCATATTCTTTGCTACAAAAGTCTAATCTAAGACTTTCAACAAGGCATTCCGGTGTGCTTCGGAGCTTAATAGAAGAGCCAGGATCGAGATATGAGCTGACAACTTATGTAGCTATTCCACAATGTTATACTTGCTATGATTTAAAAAATTTAGGAACTCTAAAGTCTCATTTTCCGTTACAAGCTCATTAATGACTGAATCATCATCATTCAATAGTATTTCAACCCTATTTCATTTATCAGTAGAAGCTCCTTTCTCATGTTCATTGGTCTGATTAGGAGAATAACATCTCTTGTTTCTGGTAAAATGGCCTACCTCATCCAGTTCTCCCTTGGCAACCTCTGAAACACCCACGTTATTTAACTGGCACTCATATCTCCAAAGACTTTTTTATTATCATTATAAGGGAAAGAAGATGGGGGTGCGATCACCACTTTAGGGATACCCTCTCTGCCACATGGGATTTTAGCGTGATAACTATAGGACACTTGGTATTGTAGACTTCCTTAGATAAGCACTCGGACGCGCAAATCTCTACTTCTTCCTCTTCAGCAGTTTCTTGGTAAATTTTCATTTCATTGGTATCCATCAGCCTTTGCACCAAGGTTCAGAACTTAGCACAATCCTGTATGGTATGACCATCACAACTATGGTATAGGCAAACACGCTTACTCTTGTCAATCGTGTTTGATACCAGCAAGCCTACCTTGACCATCTTTCCCCATACCTAAATCATGGGTGACTTCACTTCATTCACTTTGGTTATAACATTTTTTTATCTCTCCTAGATAATTTCATTGACACCTACCCCTGCATGGCTTGACGGTGGGTTTTAAGCTAAATTGGGTTGCTCTCTATCACCAAAGTTGATGACGTTCCTCTTCCTTAATTTTTGTACAGTCTTTTTGAAGGCAATACAATTTTATATTGAATGTCCTGAAGTACCTACGTGATATTCGCATCGGGCACTGGCGTCAAACTACTTTGGTTTGAAGGCAATACAATTTTATATTGAATTTCCTGAAGTACCTACGTGATATTCGCATCAGGCACTGGCGCAAACCACTTTGGGTAAGGAGGATGCATCGGTGAAGTGTGGTAAGGTGACACCACATTACTGACCTCGTTATCCTTTCTTTTTCTCTAGAGGCTTTCTGCTCGATTTTCCTCCGTCAAGTTTCCCACTCTTGATCGCCATTTCGATTATCTCTCCTACTATGACCATATCAACAAAGTTCTTGGATGAATCTCCTATGAGGTGGCCAATGAATGGGGCTTTCATAGCGTTCACTAAGAGCATGTTAGTTTCTTCTTCCTTAAGTGGTGGATGAATTTGTACAACCATATCCCTCTACCTTTGGGCATAATACCTGAAGCTTTCGTTAGACCTCTTCTTCATGCTCTACAAAAAGATTCAGTTAGGCCTCACATGCTTATACTTCTCTAGAAAAGCTTTAGCCAAGTCCTTCCAGGATTTAATTTGAGCCCGACTCAACTGATTGTACCAACGGAATGACTAATCCTGCCAGGCTCTCTTGAAAGAAGTGGATTAACAGTTGATCATCTTCTACATAGCCACTCATTTTTCTACAAAACATAGTAATGTGTGCAAAAGGACATCTTGTGCCATCAAACGTTTCAAAAACCATAATTTTGAACTTGAGTGGCACCACTAAATCAGGAACCATACTTAGCTCATTGGCATCGATCCCATACATACTAGAATCTTCTTTCATAGCTCGGAACTCATGTTTCATTTGTTCTCATTCCTCCTTAAGTTGTTTATTCTTCTCTTTCTTGTCATCCTCATTGAGATCTGAGATGTATTCAACCGGGTGCGGGTTTACAAAAGAGCCAGGTAAGTTTTATGTGTATTCATTATGGCTGAGTAATTGTTGCTTGTTGTGCTCGAACATGTGGTGGTGTAAAGCCAGGGGATATAAGGGTTCTTCAGAGGAACCAACAATTGATGCCTTTCCATGATTAGCCCATGGTTCGAAGCCCAGTGGATACACATGTTCTTCAGTAGAACCGATAACTGGAGTATCTTCACGACTTATACTCTTTCCCTGAATCAAGCTTGTCAGTTTCTCCATCATATCATTTTGAGCTTTCATCATTTGCACACGTGTGTCCTCATGAACTTTCTTGAAACTCTCTTGGATCTCAACTCAAGTCTTCTCGATTTGGTCAATTCTCTCGTCCATGGCCTTTTTTCGAGTATGGTATGGATGCTTAGAAGTTTCCAGTATTCTGACATAAAATCTTTTTATTAATATTGGTATTTTGTTAATGAATGTTAAAAATATTACTATTAATGAATAAAATACAATGCGATAAGGTAAATGCAATGTGGATGCAATGTAAAAGCAATCCAAGGTGTTGATTCTGGAACGATTCATTAGAATAACTTTTTATATTAGAAATGAAGTTTGGTTACAAGGCTTAAACATATCATGGATAAATTTGAGTTATCTCTCCTAATTTTTGGATTTGCCCCAGTAAATCTAAAATCCTATGAGCATTTTCAGTCTCGAGCTCGAATCCTTCACTTACAGCATCAGCTTCACGTGATAAGTCAACCAAGTATTGAGCCATTTCTTGAGTATGCTACAGGTGGCTCGCGATGAGGTCATCCCTTTGCTAACTCTCCACTGAGCATGTTCATAACGATGTCCCCACTGTATAACTCCTTCATAAGGGACTATCGGTAGTTCACTTGCCCTTCTCTGAAAACCCAAGAACCAAAACTTCTAGTTCATTCACATGCTTCTTCAAGTTTTCAACTTCCACACGGTTTGAACTACTCTATCGACTTCGGTACCATCTCAAAGTTGTCTCTAAAGTCAAGATTCTATGTTTCAATTTTTTATTCTAGGCCTGACTCTCTTGTAACTATTGTTCTAATGCACTTTTGTCCCTTGAAAGTAGTTTTGCCTGATGTCTACTCTACTTAAGATCCTCACTACTTTCCCTAAATTCTCTTTTTAAACTAGTCACTTCCTGTCTCCATTCAGCAGGGGACTTACTTGAGCTAGTGGCCATCTGGGCCTTGCCCATTTGCTGGTAAGATAACTAGAGATCATCAAAGTCCAATTTGAGTTGTTTCTATACTTTTTTGATCCGGTAGGCTCAACCCTTTTGGATATCAATCACTAAGCTTCTCTGGTATGACTCATCCTTCAATCTCTCTAGCGTCTCTTTCCACTGTTTCCTCTCAGTCTCAAAATCAAGCCTAGCTTGTTCTAGCGGAGATAGTACCAGTCTGAGATGTTCATACATAGGCTGATTATTTTTCAGGATTGACCATCAAGATATTATCCTTGATTATGTTGCTTCTCAACTCCTCGTACTCTTGTGATAGCCTTAAGTCGAAGGTAAAGAGATTTACTCTGCGAGTATGCTTCCATGCATCGAGAACACCTTTGACTTTATTCTTGTACTCCTCTCCTCTGAATGCGAACTCAGACCCGGATAAATGCAAAGTTTCCGAATGAACTGTATCGACCTATATTGTCTGGATACCAGTAACGGAGCA